TGTACAATAAAGATAAGGCGAGCAAAATTAACAGACAGTGTCATCGCTCTGTTGTCCATTAAAAAATTAAAAAATGTCATTACTTCCTTAACTATTATTAATAGAGCATAAAATCAATTAATTAATATTATAAGAATTAATTACTTGATATTAAAGACGAATAACTATGGCATAAATATGAAAATTATAAATTAATGTAATAAATAAGAAATATGTAGAAACGGAATGAAATATACATCCAATTAAATACTTACATCATTTGCATTAGACACATTCCTCGATATTGCGAGAAATTTCGAATATGCAATTTTATCATTCCAGAATTGGCGCAATGCTATTCAAAGCACGAATACAAATGCATGATTTAAGCTGATAATCGTGTAAAATAGCTTCCATCTACCGCATGTATTAATTGATACGTATTAATTAATAATTTTATTCTAATAATTTATATTTGAAAGCGTTTAATTCTTGCTTACTGTGAAGTCTTATTTTATTCAATTTCTTCTTCTAATTTGAAAATATTTCGTACATTCTGTTAAATCTGGCCTAAGGGAATATGCGTCTCACAGGTACTATCCATTATCCAAGATGCAGAGAACTTTTCTGAAAAATTCGTGAACTATAAAGTCCAGTATGGCACATTCGCGCATTGCATCGTAGTCGTCTGAAAATACGCAGCGTCGATATGTGGAAATATGGAAGATCACACGTATAAGCAGGGCCGCAGATGCCGTGACAAAACTGCGAACAAAAAAAGTCGAGACCCACCGCGAGAAAATATGCGGAAAACTGTCGAGGACAAATGTCGTATGTATAATACTTAAAGATGAGTTTTGTCGTTTCTTCTTCTGCTTGCATTTTCAGCCGGTTGTGTGCAGAGGTAGCACTTGCATTTTTGCTCATTGCTGTTATTCTTTGCGCAACGTCGATGTAAAAATAAGCCCGTTAATTATCTTCTTGTATAATGAAAAAATACGCGAAATAAATGATATGTTAGTCCGATTGTTATATTTTACAAAATACTTCTTTTACATATATATTATTTATAAAAATAAAAGTTAGAAATATGTTGTAATAATATTATTTTATTTCTTTTAATTTATTCACAAAACCGTATTTTCCATATTTATCTACAATTTTATATTTCTGTTCTACATTTCGAAAGTTAATTGCTTCATAACGGAGTAAAATTTAACTGACAAAGAGAATTCTACGTAAATTTATTTATATGAGCCAGCTACTCATTGCAGATCTGCACGAGAAACTCGGGCTTTTGCATAGTGCAAAATGGCGACCTCATTTATAGTTTGCACCGTTTCAACGACGGCAATAAGGATGCTGCTAGAAATATTCGCCTGAAACTTACCGTATTCAGGGACTCAACATCCGTTTAAACATTACATTGCGTATGATGTAGATATAGATATTGCAGGCAAAGTTCTAAAAATTAAAGTAGGGCGACGTTTCAGAAGCTTAAATCAATGTTCTAAGACCATGTAAGTTTGTATGTCGATTGTTTAAGTCGAGTGTATGAAGTTTACGTTGTCGAGCACGGTCAACACAGAAAGGATGAACAGCGGGGATTTCCCGTATAAGCGTTGAAGCACTGATCTTGCTAGCTTTGATTCTAAGCTTTGCTGCGAGAAGCAAGAATATAGATATCCACAAATATAAAATATTTACTTTCTATTAATTTACGAAATATTATCTTAAGATTAAGAGAAAAATGATCTTAATTGTAAAATTGTTGTCCAACTGTAATCTGTCATTCAAGAAATGTAAGAAATATAAGCTAGTTGTGTCGCCGCTTTAAAATATCCTAAGAATAAAATATTTTTACTGCAGAAACATATTTTATCCTCTGGCAGGGGAAAAATAACGGGTCCAATCACGATTGTATGCAGGCCGTCCGAGTTAGAATATCCTGTTATCTAGAAAAAGAAAGGGGTTGAAGAAACTCCGTCGGCTACGTGCTGACGCAGGCCGAAAGTATCTCGATATATCAATATCAGGCGTGCCAAAAACTTTGAATACACCTTGACGACGTGCTACGTGCGGCGGAAGTTTTCCTCACTTTTAGAGTGCTATCCGCAGAAAGGTATTCCCGCTAAACTTCTTCCCCGAACGAGATAAAGCGATAGCAAAGTCGATAAGCTGATTTGATCGTAACAATAGAAGCCTGGCTTACAACGTACATATTGTGTGATAACCAGGAGTTCCTACACAGTTCCGGCATATCGATTCACGAGAAGCGCTAGAAGATGAAGTATACGCCTGGGACCAGAACGATTCTGCTTGTATAAATATTCAAAAGCACGTGCAAGATAAACAATAAAACAGAAATTTTTTAACACAAGAAATCTAGTCTCGAGAATATATCTTAATTCGCTTTCCTTGAACAACATAAATTTTAATCATTAAATTTTACATCTATAAAACAACGTGTGTACGTTATTAAAATATTATAAATTTCTTAGACAAGTATACAAAACAATTATCAGATATTATTGTAGAAATATTGAAAATTGACTTAAAAAGAGTGGCGTAAATGCTACGTGTTAAGAAAGGCTATCAAAGGTTTCGCGATGACTTCGACCGCTGCTCGAGTCTAAACATACTGAATTAACGATCAACTTTTCTCAGCACGCACTTTTATCACGTCAATATTCAGTGTTATAACTGGTAGTCTGCGTTATTAACACCGTAAATGCAGTGCGGCATGCTACGGCTGGCTGGCGGAAACCTCGCGGTCTACGTAAAGTTTGCGCAGCGAGAGATGTAGGCTCGAGGGTGGAGAACTCGGGTTGGTACTTGGATCTGGTTTCTCGATCGTCTTGCTCGCTTGGTACAGGGGAGAAACCGCTGGATCGTGAATGTACCGACGATGTCGCTGGTTTAACGGCACCGTATCCAGCGACGGCTGTGTAATTTAATGAGCATAAAAGCCAGAGGCACGATTAATACGCGCGCCAAAACGGGGACGACGAGGACGACGTTGTCGACAAGACACGGCTGTATGTGCAGCGCCGATTTCGGAGATATGTGACGTCAGGATCACAGAAAATTTTCACTTCACCACAAGTTCTCTTTAATTTTAGTGGATCTTTTAATCTTTGCACCAAGCACTGGCCGGATATTTTCGTAACATTAGTGAGAAAAAAATATTAAAAAAATAATAATTTTGCTTAAGGTAAAATAAAAACACAACTAAAAACTAGCATAGCTCTACCTCTTTCAAAAATAAGAAATGTAATACTATGTTTTAGAAGGATAATATCGTTTCTAATTAACATTAAAAAAACATCTCTCTGATCTCTTGGTGCCAGGAAACTAGTGAGCAGTATGTTCTTATGTTATTCTTGCTTCTTGAAAGAAGCGCAAGGCAAGTCGCAATGCAATACAGTCGTTTGCTGCAATTTGTAGCGTTATTATATAACTTAAAGAAGAGACAGTGAAATATATATTTCATAGTAGGTCATCGAAAACTCAGACATAGATTATCGCTCGACACGAGAATCGAAAAAAAGGAAAACGGGCAATACATTTCGCAACATCACAAGTGCACGATTTTTGTAGCTGCACGCGAGCGAAATGATGTCGCCGCGACTTGCAAGTTTGCGCGACCGGCCGGCCGGTAGGGGTGGAAAAGTTCAACTTCAGAATTTACGGGCTGACGCGGGGAAAAAAGTTTCGGCACACATCTGGATGCGGCCGACCGATAATCGATATGTGCGGCCATTCTTGCCGTGTCGCCGGCACGCCGGCACTCTGAAGTCAAAATTTTTCGACTAATTTGATCGCTAATGCCTTTCCAAGCCATTTGATAATGCTGCGAAAGTGGAAAAGTTGCACATAGAGAGGATATTTATTTAACATTGGACTTTCTATTGCGCTGTGCTTTATTTTCGTTGCACTTGCGTTTGAGGCATCATCAAACTATTTGTTGCTACTAAAAGTTTTCATTACTTCCTGTAATCAACTAAAGGGATATTCGTGTAAGCGAAATACAGTGAAAAATATTCTAAAACTTAAATGTATGATTAATTTGAGAAAATTTGTTTTAAAAAACACTCACTCTCTCTCTCTCTCTCTCTCTTTCTCTCTAAATTTAAACTTTTTGTTATTATAACTAGAGAGAGGTTTCTTGTTATTACGATAAGTTTACTAAACCTTTGGAAGGCTACGATCGCACTCTTTTTTTATTTCATTCCTTATATACTCTTTTACACACTCGCTGAGTACTCTTTTCCAGACACTTTCGTTCAAGTGTGAAACACGCTGCATCTGTAATTTCCGTGCAGGAACTTCGAAGTTCCTCCTGTCTCTCACTGATACGTACGTCTTTCTCCTCTGCTTTTCCTTTCGTCCCCTCTATTCTAATTTCTATTTTGTCCACATGTTCGGAAAGCTCGAGTATGTATGATACCTCTTATTGTGTTTAACGCAAAAATAGATTGTTTACGCAAAAAGAGAATAACGAACGGCAAACACACGGATGACAGCGACGAGCTAGCTGGATCGTGCGCGTGAAATACGCAGGTACGTCACGCACGTACCGTCGTCTGTAAATCAGTCGTGAGTGCGCGGGCTCTCGCGAAATATTTAACGACGACTCCTAACCCGCCATGCCTTGTTTTCCGAGTTGCACCAACCCCCACCAGCCCCGGTGAATTTATTGCGTAATTTCAAAACGGTTCGGCGTTTCCGTGCCGACTGGTGACTCGCCACGGATTGCATGCTCTCAAACGCAAACGATAAATTAAAAGTCGCGATGTGGTGTTCTTCAAACTGCCACTTATCCGATTCGTAATCTAGATAGACCGTAATTACGGAGTAATAGTTAAAAGTTTGCAAGCATTTATGACCGTATCAATAATAATCCAAATAATTGAACGGTATAATAAAAATATAAAATATTTAATTCCGCTAAAATTATTATTCATGTGTAACGTAAGATATTATTAAGTAATATTTAATATAAAAAATTCCAAAATATATATATTCTGTCATACACTTTTATTCCAACAATAAAATCCAAAAATCAATAACAAATATCCCCAATATATTTTTACCAAATAATCACTAATAATTATTACTTAAAGATTTCAATTAATTTCTATTTGTCGAATCGCTTACTTCAGACGACTCTGTACGTACGATTGGAACAAATTTTACACGAATTGGATGTGCAACCCGAAGTACTATATCCATTATAAATCGAAGATCTTTCAAATAGTCAACAGGTTCCAAAAAAAAATTGTACACTAGAGGGGCTATGACAGCTTTTAACTCCAACATAGCAAATCGTTGACCTATACATATTAATATTATGCGTAAAACAATTAAAATATTAGAAGTAAAGTAAATCATTTATATATCAAGAAATTAATATTTTAAAAGAATTACCTATACAATTTCTTGGTCCTGCGCTAAAAGGTAAATAAGAAAAAGGATGACGATTTTGAGAATTTTCTGGTAAGAATCGATCTGGATCAAAAACATCAGGTTGTGGCCAAAAGTTGGGATCTCTATGAATATCGTAGATAGGCATAAATAATACCGTTTTAGAGGGTACCAGATATGATTCTAGAAAATAGTATGAAATAAAATATAACAAACGATAAAAATATGAAGAGTACAAAATAATTGTTCATATACATATTATCTCATTTTAAATAACAATCATTTACGCATAATCTCTAACTACTCACGCAATTTTACATCTTCCGATAAAACGCGCGATATGAAGGGAACACTGGGATACAATCTCAAGGATTCCTTTAAACATCTTTCCAAATATGGCATATTATTTAATGCTGCCATGGTAAGTTTTCCATCATTCTCTTGCATCACAGCACTAACTTCACTCCTAATACGATCCTAAATTATTAAATAGATTTTTGTATGTTAGATGTGCATTAGATTTTATAAAATAATTTTAAATTAGTAAAATAATTAAATTTTTAATTAATTTAATTAATTAAATCTTTATTATTTATTGTATTAAAATCGATAATTTATATATATACACATACATATATATATATATATATATATATATATATATATATATATATATATATATATATGTATATATTAATATACCTGAATATCTTTATGCTCAGCTATCAGCAATATAGCGAAGCACGTACCTATCGCTACAGTATCGTGACCCTATAATAAAAAGAATTTAGTTTGCTTGTTTTTATGTTACATTCAAGTTATATATATCAAGCAAAACGCATTAAGCAAATAAAAGACAAACTAAAACATTGTTTAAATTTTTAATTCTTTGAAGTACAAGAATAATTCTTTTAATTCTTTGAAGTATAAGTTATAATTTTTTGAAATATAAGCATTTCAAAGCATCGCAATAAAGTTCTAAGTCTGCCAAACGATATAAGATTCTAAAGCATTCTAAGGCATTCTAAAGCATAAAGCATAGAAATAAATAAAATGTACATTAATATTAAAATATACGTTTTATTCATTTTTACGTTTTAATATTATATCGCAACATTTGTTAGGTTAGAACTTTAGAAAGTTAATTTTCTTTACTGCTATGCATTAAAATTTTAAATTTTAAACAAAGAAATGGTCTAAAATTCTAGAATATAAGATTTGAATGATTGCTTTAAAATTCTAAGCCTACTAAAAGACATGATATAAGATTCTAAGACATAAAAATTAATAAAGTGTACATTTTAATATTCTAGATCACTTCTTTACTTAAAATATAAAATTTTAATGCATTGCAGTGAAAAAATGTGAATTCTAAAATTCTAGGCCTATCAAATAATTATTATGGAAGATTTTAGAGTATGATATAAGATATGATATAAATTTTAGCTGTTTACAATCCAAAAAAAGAATGATTTTTATTGTTAAAAATATGTGTATCTGATATATAAACATTAATTGTTTATAATATATGTGTATTAAAAACATTTTTTCAAAAGTAAAGTGAATATAAATTTAAGTAAATATGAAAAATATTGTTCCGATAATTTTTTAGTGCAAATTTTATATAAATTCTCAACAAAATGCAGATATACTTACTTCGAACATAAAAGTATCAACTTCTTCTCTGATGTCCAAATCACTCAATTCATTATTCTGGGACGCTGCTATCAAAAGATCTAACATAGCTAGTCTTTTTTTCTGAGCTAAAATAAATAAAAGCAATTTTAGTTTAATTCATATTATGCTAATTTATACATATCAAATATTTATTATAAATTAGCCTCGGCTCAAATAAATTAACAAATTAGAAAAAAACGAGGGATCAAGAGCCATTTGATAAATTTTGATAAATCGCCGACATAAAACATAAAATGCAGTTGTCCGCAGTACACTTAATTGACTACGTCGCAATGCTTACATTGGTTTCACGCAATCTCCTTATCGCAGGCAAATATTATTTTAAAATCTGAACTGCGATTGAACTTTGGTTATCTACGCGATTAGGTTTTATGAGAATACAAACTATATACTGAAGATGGTCGAAAAGTCGACTGAAATGTTTATAAAGTGTATTGAATAAAGAAGATTGTAAAAGGCAACCAAAATCCTGCGTTGGCTCTTGATTCCTCTTTTTTTCTAATATGTTAAAATATCTATATTGTTATATATAAACACACATACTTCCTATTACTTCCTCGTCATCAATTATTGATCCATTTTCAAATTGTTTCAAATATTGTCCATTAGTACTTTTATGATGTTGTTTCCTTTCCGTAATAATCTACAATAAAAAAATATAGATCTATTTTATATTTATATTTTTGTGCTGCAAAGATGTGCTGCCAAAAAAAAGAATTATATTAAAATTATTATAATTTTATTTACAGGACAATAGCTCGCAAATTTTGGATATAATTCTTACTTTCTCGGTGAATCCATGCAGTATTTTTAAACACTTAGCTTGCATTCTACCCATTGGTACAAACGAAAACACCACATCAGAATGAATCCAAATCTTCATTAATCTGTGTGCATAATTATGTAACAATTAATTATGTTTAAGAAAATAATCACATATTTTCTGAAAAGCATAAGTTTATATAGTTATATAACTTATAATACAATATTAGTATCTATTCAATATTAATTACAATAATTTTATATTTTGCATTTTAATATTTCAACTGCCTTTATAATATACATACATATTGAATGTAACTAAATTTGTTTATGTAATGACAAATATTGTTTGCGTAATTACCTTTTTATGACAATTTTACCTATTTGGTGTACTGCGTGACGATACTCTTGCTGAAATTCGCCCATTTCTTTCAAAGAAGTTCCCATAGCAGTTTCTATAAATTATTGATTAAAATTATATAAATATTTGTTAAAAATATTATTTGAATTATAATAATTGTCATTAAAGAAGATCTTTCGATTAAATGTTACAATCCAATACATTATTTTTTAAAAAGATGTAAAAAGCATTTATTAATGTTCAAAGATTAAATATATTTAATTAAAGTTATTATAATTATAATCAATATTTAATCAGTTGAAATGTAAATCTATATAAAGAAAAATTTTTTAATCTTATAAATATACATATTGACGTACTGCATATTGCATTTAACGTATGATTGCTAGTAAAGGAGGTTAAATCATTAACAGTCGATTCTTTACTATCTTTCAAACATTGCGTCATGTAATTGCCCTCCTCGATCAAAATGTCAACAAATTGTTTTAGCACATTAAAATGAAATGCTGGCGTTAGTATCTTTCGTCTTTTATGCCACTTTATGCCTGGAACAAAGATAAGATAACTTTAGTTTTAATTTAGTTTCATTTCAATAATAATAATGAAAAGCATTAACATCTGATATCTAAATTATGTTACTTAGATTTATACTTTAGGAAAAATATGTCAAATATTTTGATTGAAAAGTCATTATTATTTATTATTTTTTTATGTCGCGTATTTTATAAGACATATATAATATGAAAATGACAGCAGTTAATTCTGCACTAACATGAGATAATTTTTCCGTTTATATCCGTTTGTAACAATTAAATATAATTAGATATAGAAAATTATTTAACTATGAAAAAATATAAAATAACAATTTTTATGCTTTCTATTAAATAGAATTAATATATTCGAATTAAAAGTATGTTAGATCTATTGAGTTACCTTCGCTAGTGAGTAGGCCGGTATTCAACCAAGGATGAAGAAATGTGTATATGTATCCTTTCCCAAGATGTTGCTTTGGATTGGTTAATATTGTCTAAAATTATAGATAAAGTTATATTAAGAAATTATTTTATCAAAGAAAATTGGATGTAAAACGTGCGATAATATGCGGGAAGTGTAATGCAAAGTTGTACCTAAGAAAGTATTAAGTGTGAAAAATATTTATTTATAAGTGCTAAAAGATAAACACACAATTTCAAATATAAGCTACAGATATCAATTTTAATCATCGTGAATCTAATATGATAATGATATGAAAATCAACTTATTATCTGATATTTATCTTGTTGCTAACCTGTACGTCATCTGGATGGCTAATGCTAACATAAGCTATATTCACGTGCCAAATTCTATATATTGGATAAAACTTTTTACCAATTTCGCGATGATATGTCCAGAGGTCCTCTAAAATAAAAATTTCAAAAAGATAAGTACAAGTATAAAGATTTAATAAACAAATTATATGCTAAATATTAAAATAAGAATTTATATAATTTTCCTTGCCTAATGAACGTCTGCACCAATCAAGGACATGACCAATTAATGGTAACACCGGTTCTCCAGGTATCCGATTAATAAGTTGCCCAAATCTTCCATAATGAATGGCGTAATGACACAGTAATATAATAAAAATGCAGAACAGTAGTAAGGAGATGATCATTGTTTCTTGAGCAAATTATAAAGTTTTGTCAAATTTTTTTTATTTATTAATTTCTGAACGTAAGAGTACAAGTGTATGTGTGTATATGTGTGTTATGTCCACCTGTAACACGCAGTAATAATTATCAATATTAAATTGATTAGATATGTAGTATCGATTTAATGTTACATTAGCGATAAAGGAAAGCTTATAATAACCATACACAATATTATATTTTATTTATATATTTATATATTTTATGTATATATTTATGTATATATTTTAATTTCTACAATATATTTTTTAAAACATTTAAATAAAACAAATAAAGATCACTGGATTTGGTCAAATTAATAAAAGTTTTATGATTTCCATGCATTTAGAATCAATAATATAAAACAAAAAAGTAAACTTTTATTCATAAGCTCAAGTAAAAAAGATTGAAAAATTTTTTTTTACAATATTATTTACATATCAATCATATATCACTTTAATCATTTTTAAAATATCTCGGTATAAATTTATAATAATAAAGAACTTACCTTATTAAGAAGTATCTTCAGACTGGAATTGTAAAAAGAACTTCCACTTTAATATTTCGTTTTTATTTGTAAATAATTTTATAAACATTTATAGATTACATGTCACTGTTTATAAAGTTTTGCATTAACAATTATAACTGTACTTAGAAATAATATTGTAACTATGTTATAATTAATGAAAATATAACACTCTTGGTCAATATGACAGTTTCACAACTTTTACTTTTTTGACACGTTGAAGTATGAGATAGCTACTTTATATAGATTATAGATCAGTGGTTCTCAACCTTTTTATATTCAAAGATCACTTAACATGTAAGTTGCGAACCACCAGTTTATATGTAATATGCAATGTAGTAAACACAACGGCGAGTCCATTGATAATGCGCTTAGAAGACTGCATTAAGATTACAAGAATCACTAACAAACTACGTTTACACGTCAACCTTAATCGGATTTAGTAACATTTTTGTAGTTATAAAACTGGCCAATCACAGTCATTTCATTTTTCAGAGGAATAGCTGTGATTGGCTAGTTTCATAACTACGGAAATTATTGAACCCGATTAAGGGTGACGTGTGAACGTAGTCGCTGATAACGACTTATACACATCGAAACAAACTTTTTATCTAATACGAATAACAATTTATGTTTTCAAAATAATACATTGGGCTAAATATAAAATAAATGTATAATGTAAAAAGTGAAGCCATTCAAAAAAATCTTTTTTATGCACAAAAAAATTATGACTTGAGAGACGTACTGTTCGAAAAGTCTTTAAAAGATTAACTTTGTCAAAGAACTATTATGCTATCAGCATGCTATCATGCTATCGGTGCTAACGCACCGTTTTAAAGCTATCGTGGACCAAAGTTCAGATTAGGTTGCTTACAAATCGGTCAATGGCATAATTAAACATTAAAAAACTACAAAATATAACATTAATTTCATCTCTTTATAATATACAAAAAAAATTATTTATTTAATATTGTTACGCTCGTTTCGCTTATCGTATCTCGTTATCGCTCTTAACACATGTCACCAAGTGCTAAACAGTCACGCTAGTTATTTGAATTTAAACAGACACAGACATTATTCAGCGTGCATTAATCATACATTTATTGTTGGTTTGTATTTATAATAATGTACAATTTATCTTTTTCAGAAGTGTTTTCAAACACTCATTGTGAAGGAGCAAGTAATATATTGTACTAAATAAAATATAAAATATTCATATTATCCTATTATCATTTAAATATTCATATTATCATAACCATAAATGTTTATAATACATATGAAAACTATGTTAATAATTCTATTAGTGCAACAAATTATTTGTTTACTTTTTTAACATGTTAATTAACTTTAAATGCCTGCATTTGTTCGATTGGAATAAATTTTACACAAATTGGATCTGAAACTCGAGTTAGCAAATCCAGCCGGAATCGAAGATCTTTTAAATAATCAACGGGTTCCAAATAAAAGTTATGCACCAAAGTAGCTATTATAGCCTTTAACTCGAACATGGCGAATCGCTGACCTATAAATATCCATAAAAATATTAGAAATGATTTACATATTAAGAAATTAATGCTTTAAATATTACCTATACAATTTCTTGGTCCTGCGCTAAAAGGTAAATAAGAAAAAGGATGACGATTTTGAGAATTTTCTGGTAAAAATCGGTCTGGATCAAAAACGTCTGGATTTGGCCAAAAATCGGGATTTCTATGAATGGATTTAACGGGAATATGTAATAGTGCACCAGAAGGCACAATATATGATTCTGAAAAAATCACGAAACAAAATACAATTTATTAGAAAAATTAAAAAAAGATGTTTAGATTGTAAAGTGAACATTTTTATATAAATTATTTTCTTAAATAGAAGTTTTTTTGGAATGCAATCAATTACTAATTTTTTGAAACAATATTTTCGTTAGAAACAAAATAATATCAAATCAAATTAATATTAAGTTACGGTTTGTCAGTATAAAAATATTTTTTTTTATAGTTATATGGCGCACATAACTTTTTACAGCTCGATCGTGGAAACTATGCAATTAATCTTAAAAATTTTAATCTTGAATTGTGTTGGTCTGAAAGTGTTTAAACTAGAATGGAAGTTAGTCTCCCGGTTGCAGGAGTGGAGTGGGGGTTAACATTAAATTTTTTAATGGGAAATTTTTAAATCTTTATACAAAATTACATTTTCAGATTCTGAAAGAAAATAATTATTCACCCGAAAAATTTTTTGTGAGATATTTTTTGAAAATTTATTCTTTGAAAAAATATGACGATTTAACGTTTCGACCTATAGCTATTTGAATTGTGTAGCTATTCGAATTAATAAGTATTTCTGAGATTTAATAGTATTTCAAGAGGATAAGCGACGCATGCGCTGGTGCCTTAGTGACTCCCGAAATGCTATTAAATATTAGAAATACTTTATTAACTCGGATAAATAAATATTTACAAGACCATGGTGAACATTTTAAACATTTAATAAATTGAATAAGTTAGAGTAGAATGTTGATTTGATATGACTATTTCCGAGTGCTTCAAGTAACTATAAATCGAAATTCAAACTGTCATATTTTTTCAAAGAAATATATGACGAAAAAATGTTTCCGATAAAACTGAGTTGCTGTCTTTCATAGAATCGCAAAATGTAATTTTGTATAGAGGTTCTTATTTAAAATTTTAATTAATCTCCGCTCCATCTACGCAATCGGGATTGAG